GTAAACCTGATCCGTCATAAACGCCAAAGCTGGGCCACTGTGCTCCATCACATCGACAAGCGTGTCCATTGTCCTTCGCCCATTGCCACACCACCAACAGCCAGGCTCCGATGTTGGGTGAGGTACAGCAGTTCTGTCATCACAAGCTATTACACCAAGTCAATCTGTCCACCACCTTGAGCTCATCCACCACAAATGACCGAGTCTTCAGTGGTCTGGCCAAGCTGAACCTTCACGGTCCGAGCGCCAAATTCTGCGGCTCCTACCACGACGCCGCACGCTCGAGCGCAAAGGCAGACACCACACGTTTCAGGCCCTCAACCGCTCTTCGCGCCTACTGATCACGCTGCAGAGGTGACCGTTTCACAGACATTGTGCGTACACGAACGCCGTCCAACCAAAGTGACTTCACGGCTGGGTCCTTCTTCCCGTCCGAGCTTTCCGACAGAGGCTTCAAAGCGTGTTGAAGGTAGATTGGACTTTGCACGATGTCGGACAATTCCGGTCATGGTCATCAAGCGAAGCGTACAGGGCCCCTCGTTGAGGCGAGTGGTGAGTCGCAAGCTCAGCTCAACAAATGTAGCCACATTGCTTTTCTTTCTCACGCGACTCATCCCCTTTTCACCAAAGGTGTAGACGGACTGTTGCTGGAGAATTTTTTGGAGTCATCACTCGCTCAACACCATCAAAGTGCGCACCCTTTTTTCCACGAAGCCGCAGACCCTCTCCAGCGCAGAACACGAAGGAACGATCCGTCTAGCTTTCACGCCGATCACGCTCTAAGTGTTGGGGAGATGCCTGCGGTGTGCCATCCCGAGAGTCTGATCTCAGCACCAACGCATGATGCAGTTGATCTAGCACCTCAGGGCCTCATCGTGGGGCCTGGACACTCAACGGCACCAGTTTCCATTCCAGCTCAGACCTCTTTTCAGCCGCTCGCCACTCAGCCCCGAGAACACCAACACTGGGCAACACCTTCTTGGCAGGGGCAGTTCCCCGCTTTGGACAGCAGTGCAGGGAGTCTTGGTAGCTTTGGAGGCGTTACTTGGCCAAGTGGGCAGCTAGGGGCCAACGTGCCTTCTGCACCGCTGCGTGCAAGGGCTCACACTTGGTACGACGAACAGTCGGGACGTACCGGAATGTCTCCGATTGCTCACGCACCTTCGTGGGGCTTGCAAACGAGTACCAACCCGGCGCCTCAGCTGACGAGTCCCACAATGCTGGCAAGTGCAGGTCCGACCGATTCGCCAGCCCTCAATAGCGACGACGGTGATAGCGAACATAGTCATCGCTTCAGCAATCCGCCCTTCTTGCTCAGCGCAAATCTCTCCCAAGCATCAGCCTCAACATCTGCAATCAATGAGACCACCCACCCTGGCTTCGCTTCTGAAGTCAGAGCTCCACCAGGCGCGTCCCCTGCATTGTCTGAACGCACCAAAACGGAC